TCATTTCCCTGTAGATACGAACTCTACTTCACTATACTACAAATAAGAGCCCGTTTGGTAGCACCAAAATCGGCTGTTTTGGCTGATTCTGCTCAAATTTATGATATTCTGGCTGGAGTGGCTGTTTTGGCTGATTCTGCTGATTTAAGAAAAAAAATATTTTAAAAATATATTTTATTAATAAATTAAAGAAAAAATTATATGTAAAAATAGCTAAAATGGTCCTCTACAGTAACTTCAGCCAATACAGCCAGAAAAGTAACTCCAACCTTACTTTTTCGGCTTATTACACAATTCAGCGCGCGAAAGTAAAAGTTACGTGTTTGGTGAAAAAGCTGGCTGATAAGCCTGATAAGCCGAAAACAGAATTCTCCAAACGGGCTCTAAGTGTTAGTATCAAATTTATTTTGACGCACTACGACAAAGTGCTCGTCAAATTTGACGCTGTTGGTTGGGAAAAGCAACTATTTTTCTTTTTATTTTATTTCATAAAAATAAAAATTTAATAAAAAAAATTATATTTAAAAAAATCTTACTCTTCTATTTCTGAGCTTACATGATTATATGGATACCAACATATCATCCCTAGATAGTCAACTTTCCATCTTGGCTTCTCTAATAAAGGAGTTTATCTAATGCTCAAAAGCTCAAGATGCCAAGACCTGCAACATTTGCATGTCTCACATGCATCTTATGGATTTTTGCCCAAAGCTCCAAGAAGAATACTTTGAACAAATTGATAATGTTGGTTTTCAAAGGAAAATACCTCACATGAGGTATGATCTATTCTCCAACATGTCTATGGAGGACATGGTTCGGGCTCTTACTACCAACATGACCACTGATGGAGTATATGGCCCAGGAACCCCCGGCCTATAGACTCCTACTTCCCCCACAGAGGCCCATTGAGCCCAAGGAGCATCTGAGGCGAAAATACAGCGGCCCAAGTCTCAGAGAAGCCCAAAGTACGCACTGGGATGCCTTCGTCCTCCTTGGCCGAAGGCTCTAGAACTCACAGGATAGCCTTTTGTGGGCATACGAAGCCACCGGGAGAAAACGGCAGAAAACAGGAGCCTCCGGCACTGTTAAGCCCTCGGCATTAGGGAAGCCTTTGGCTGAACCAGGCTTTCGGCTATACAGAGCCCTCGGCTGCATGAAGCCCTCGGCTGCATGAAGAGTCTTCGGCTCAACAAACTCAATCATCGAAGATTCCCTTTGGAGACAGCCAACCACCGCATTTAATGCGACGTCACATCCACCCACCGCATTCAATGCGGTGAACGTGCCACTGCCGGTGCCACCCGATTGATGTGATCCTTCGACCGTTGGATTACTGACACGTGTACTCTCATCGCATTTATTGCTGCTATAAATAGCAGCCCATTTCTCCTTGTAAACGATCCAGATCCCAACTCATCTCGAGTTCATTTAATAAAATCGACTCTCTCTCCTCCTATTTGCTCTGACTTCTCTCTAGTTATTCCCGCAATAACCCCTCAGATAAGATACCCTCCCGGGTAGACTGTCCATCATTTGGTGCTCTCGTTGAGAGGTCTGAACAATCAAGTGAGAAAACTTCCCCCTCCACCAAACATAAAACACTTACCTAAAATGGGAAAGACTCGTGCTCAGTCCAAAACCCTCGAAGAGAACCACGTAGCCCCCGGCGAAACCAACGGGGCGGAGGCCTCAAACAGGCTCTTGGTACCCGAAGGCGGTACCATCCTCGAATTAGAGCAGGCCGCTACTGACCTCCGTCAGCAGTTGCAGAAGAATGCCCCTGATGCCCGCATTGGTCTTGATAATCGAAGGAGGGATCGGAGTGAGAACCAAGTTCCCCCTCTGGCCCTGGCCATCGATCTTCAGGCTGCCTTTGCGGCCTTTGTCCAAAACATGGCCCTCAACCCTGGAGCCTTCGTCTCACAGGCCCCCCTCCAACCCTATGTCGGGGGGAATGTTGTTCATTTTCCGCCACTCCCTCCTTTGTTCAACAATCCTCCCATGGGGATTGGCAACGCCGAGGGGGTCATGGCACAGGATACCGCCTCCCAAGAGGCCCAATCCAAGGACAAGCACCCCATAAACAAGGAAAAACCCCGGACCTCTGCACTTGAGAGGCTAGGGGGTGCTCCCGGAAACCGAGGGGTCCAAGACCGCCTCGGTAAGCAAGCAATTAGCAGGCCCTAGGAGAGTGGAGCCTCTGCCTCGGGGGCCGAAGGCATGCCTCCCCCTCGGGACAAGGGCAAAGCCCTCCTACACCCCGAGGACGCCAGGCATCAAATCAATCAGGCTCAATCCTTCCGGGCCAACTCCCAAGGGGTTGCCCCGAAGGATCCCAAGGACGAAATCATCGAAGCCCTCCTCCGTCAGCTCGAGGAGACTCGTCAGGCACCCCCGACGGCTTCCACGGTGAGACCAGACCCGGAGTACGCCGACCTCCAGGCACAAGTGGAGGAAATGAAGCGCAAGCTCGCCGAAGGCTCAGGCGAACCCCTCATCCAACTCCGCACTAGGACGCCTTTCACCCCAAGGGTGCTAGCGGCCAAGATCCCCAACAAATACCGAGGGCAGCCCATCAAACCATACGAGGGGAAGACGGATCCCCAGGAACACTACAGCAGGTATCAAAACAGCATGATGATGATGGGGGCCTCGGATGAATATTTATGCTTTTGGTTCCTCTCCACCTTGGAGGGACCAACGTATGAATGGTCCAACCGGTTACCCGAAGGCAGCATCGATTCTTGGCAGGAACTTGCCCACCGCTTCATCACACAATTTGCCGGGAGGCATCGTTCAAAGAAACATTTCTCCCACCTTTTGAACGTGAGACAACAGAAGGAGGAAACCCTTCGGAGTTTCCTGGAGCGCTGGAGGCAGGCCTCCCTCGAGGTCGAGGGCGCCGATGATAGAACACTGATGGCCCTCTTCCACACCGTCCTCCGCAACGGTAATTTCTCCAGGAGCCTTATCACCGATCCCCCCCGCGATTATACAAAGGCCCTCCAGTGGGGGGATCGATAGGCCGAGGCAGAAGAGATCGAGAATAGTCGCCGTAACACGGACCCTTCTCAAAAGAATGATGGCAGAAATAGGCCCGGAGGACCTCCCTACATCATTAAAAAAAGATGTGTAGGGGGAAGGAACTCCCTGGATACTATTCTTCCCGGAGGCTCAACAAGAATTCGGAGATATACATTCCCGAAGGCTCCTACAAAGACACAAGAGAATCTCTCAACAACAAGTCATCTGGCTACATAGCCGAAGGCTTCACTACATGAAGCCTTGAAGTACAAGAATTCCCCCGGAGGCCCAAGAAGAGGGCTCACTAGTAAGACTTCACCAAAATTTGGCTAAGTTCGAAATTGGGCTGAATCAAAGTCAACCATGCTTCATGCCGAAGGCGGAGTGTTACCAAACTTACTCAATGGTGAGAAATTTCCTAAGTCCACAATTGGGAACCCTTCGGAGAACACTCATCAACCGGAGGCTACTCACCAGATCTATTGAAGACAGACCTCAGGATTTCATCAAGTCCTTGGACTGGGGTCCCCCCGACAAGTCTACACACTGCAGCCTAAAAAAATTCCTACATCCGAGGGCTCACTACAACATCTATTGAAACTTTGTGGAAATTTGACTAAGTCCACCATTGCTTCATGAGACTTACAACAGCAGAAGGCTCATCAAACTACTCGATGAAGACCAAAAGCTACACTACAAGTCGAAGGCCCAACACCGCCGATGGCCTAGAGTGAAATTAGCTTGGAAAATTTCCTAAGTCTAATTCATTCCAGCCCCCGGTCCTACTACTATTGACCGGAGACAATTCCAAGGGTTCATTACCGAAGGCCTACAATGGAGTTTTACTTAGAATATTTTTTAAGTCCACGATCACGAGCCCCCGGTGATACTACATTACAACCGAAGACTTCTGAACAAGTTTTCACTTAGAAAATCTTCTAAGTCCACAAATTTATGGCCCTCTGACAAACATATGGATGAAAGGAAAACACACATACACACACGAATCAAGGAAACAACGGAATCATTCATACAAAAACGCCCGAAGGCAAAGCATTCATTTGAAGGTGTTTGTTTTACATACAAGTGGCCGAGGCCGAAGGTCTACAAGCTATTACAAAGAACGAACTTAGAAAATCTATCAAGCCTGGACATCCCCAACGACATCTTCCTTCGGCTTCGAGGCCGCATCATCCTCAGCTCCCTCATCATCAGAGTCGCACCGGGCCAGCTCTGAATCCTCGAGCAACTGCCTCTCTTCGCCCTCGGGAAGGGGGATTCTCACATCTGGCAGGAGCAGGTGGAGGCCATGGGTCTCAGGCTTAAAATCCTTCGGGTCCACGCCGAGATGCCAGGCCAGCCTCCGGTACAACATAGCTTGAGTGAAGTATTGCCCCCCCTCATAAAAGCCTTTACCCTTCAGGGCAAGCCACATCGTGTCGGTGCCTTTCACCCAGCTCTCCACCGAGGCCTCGGCAACCGAAGCCCTCCATTGCTCCTGGCCCTCAGCCTTCCAACCATCGGCAGCGAAGGCGGCCACTGCATCTTCCTTGGCCTTGGCAAGGGCTTCAGCCTTAGCTTTTTCCGCCTCCTCGGCCGCTGCTTTGATTGTAGTGGCGGCGGCCTCCAAATCATCACCCCTCCCCAAGGCTCGGGCGTCAGCCACCTTCTTCTGGGTGCTTTCCCTTTCCAGCCGGAGGGCATCCTCAGCATCAAGCAACCTCTGGCGAAGGCTTGCGTTATCCTCCTCCAACTTTTTCTGGGCCTCAGCATCTTGGGCCCTCTGCAAGTCTATTTGCTCCATCCTCTGGAGGAGCTCGCCAAGCCCGAGGGCAGCCTGCAAAGTTGAAGCAGCAAAGGTTAAGTTGCTAGCATGGAAATACGCCAAGTCCAAATAAACTAAACAAAGAAAAAAAAAGAGAACTTACGGTGACAGAAGCTTGCAGAACCTTGGCACCGAGAGCATCGGACTTTTGCCGGGACAGTACCGATTTGTCCGTCAGAGGGATGGCACCCCTCAGGAATTCCTTCGGGTCCAACGTGCCATGCATAATGGCACTCTTCTTCTTCACAGAGAAATTGATATTCTCCGTAAGCCAGGCCACCCCGACTTTCTGAGCCGGGGCCTCAGAGGATGAATGCTCCTCTACAATGACGATGGGGGCCTCCTTCTGCTCCACGGCCCCCTTTTTCTGCTTCTTCTCCGGAGGCTTGGTGCCCTTCCCGGCATTCTTTCTTTTAAGCTCCGCAACCTTGGAGCCTTCCTCATCGGCAGCTTTTGAGGGGCCCTCACCCTCATGGTTCTTCACCGCCTCCGGCTTCTTGAAGAACTCATCCACAATTCTCTGAGTCGGGGGCCCCTCATCTTTCTTCTTCTCCATAGCCAATTGCTTGGAGAGCTTAGCGAAAGCCTTTGGGTCCATGATGTCACCTGCAAAGAGGAAGGAAGAGTTAGGAAAAAACAAATCAGGGACAGAAATTACTAAGTACCAGAATCAGGGCCCTCGGCAACAACCTCCAGCATTCTGGGAGCCCCGGTCAAGGAGAGGATATCTCTCATCCTTCTCCCCTGGCAAGCGGTACCGCTGGAACTCTAGCTTGAGCAATTCCTCCGGAAGCGTGGCAGCTTTGATAGTCGTCAGCTTCTCTGAACCCGGCGGCTTCGCCTTTAGCTTTTTTCCGTTACCCTCGAGGGCGGCATTACCAACCTTGGGGTGTCTCCGAAAATGGTTGCAAAGAGGTCTCGGGAAGGTGATTCCCGGCATCCTGAGGTAGCAAAATCGGTCCTTCCATCCCTTGTGGGACGAAGGCACCTCCGAGAACAGCCTCCATGCCGGCACTTGCTGGAGGTTGGCGAAACCCTCGCTATTGGTGGCCCCCCCTCGGCACAGATTGAAAGACAGGAAAAATTGATCCAATGTAGGCTCAACCCCTCGGCTTCGGCATTGCGAGAGGAACCCGGTGATGTAAGAGTGACTGTTCGGGGTCAGCTGGCAGGGGGCGAGACCTACGAATCAGAGATATTCTACCAAAAAAAGGTGGAGCGGGAACCGAAGACCCAACTCCACCGAAAGGATGTGCACGGCATAACAGCCCTCCGGGGGATGCAGCAACACGTCGTCAGGACCCGGCACCACCACCTGTGCCGACGGGCCGACCAGGAGTTGAGTCTTGAGATACTCCGCCTCCCCAGCCTTCGTCTTCAATTCAAGGGCGGCTGTATTAAGGTAGGAGTGCCCTTCAGGAATTCCCACCGGCTGCCCTGCATCTAACGCCGCCTGTTTCTTTTTCGGAGCAGCCCTCAGCTTCTTCCTCTTTTTACCCGGAGCAACGCTCAAGGGTTCTGCTTTGAGAGGCCGGGAGCAGCTCGCCTCACCTGAGCCTCGAGGGGGCATAACGGCTACTGTCACCCGGCGGCGTTCCTTCTCTTCTTCTTCGGCCACTTGAACAGCAATGGCCATCTCCTCGTCCTCTACGATTTGCTCGAAGTCCTCGGCTTCCAGTTCTGTCCTGAGGTTCTCCTGGATCACTTCGGCCACCGCAGCATCATTTTCGGCCGAAGACTGCTCGGCCAAGGACTCAACGTCTGAGTAGCTCTCAGACTGCACCGGGGCCTCCTCCGATATATTCTGGGAATCGCTTTCGGAGGACATGTTCTAAAACAAGTATGGGAACCTAGCCGCAGGCTCCTAATGTCACGCCCCGGACCTACCGGACACGTCAACAACCCGCCGTACAGTACGAATAGTCAACCGCAGTCCAACTCATCCATACTATACTAGGCGTCTTGAATACCATTCACACGTAGTACATCCATAAACAATCATAACGTAAAATATTTAATTAAGCAGCGGAAACATAATTACAAATATTCAAGCCACACGTGGCAACCACGGGCATACAAGCCCCAAATAAATATTCAAAATAATATCCATGAGCATTATTTAGATTGTTTTCAAAACAGAAACAGGAGAAGCACGAACCCCGCCTTCCTCCTTGAATTCCCCGAAGCAACGAGCGGTAGTAGCAAGCTCTACTCCCTACCTGAAACTGTGAGGTGGCCTCCCCCGTGAAGGGGAGGTCAGTACTTGGAAGCATTTGACAAGTACAATGACAACTATACTAAGTATAATCAAAGTTTCAATTTCCAAGACCCTCAATCCAAGATGTTACTCATTTATAATTAACTCATGTTCTCCATGCTAGAGCTCGGCTCGTAGTCATATCAATTTGTGCTAGAGCTCGGCTCATAGTCACCTTACATTTGCTAGAGCTCGGCTCATAGTCATACTAATTTGTGCTAGAGCTCGGCTCATAGTCACCCTACGTTTGCTAGAGCTCGGCTCATAGTCATACTAATTTGTGCTAGAGCTCGGCTCATAGTCACCCTACGTTTGCTAGAGCTCGGCTCATAGTCATGCTACCACGTGCTAGAGCTCGGCTCATAGTCACGTCAACTAATCCCTAAACCACTTCTTAGTCTAGGTTCCATCCATTTTGAGTAACCCTTAAGGCCTACTCCAAATGTAACTTAATGTTGGTCCCGTTTAATATGGTAACCAGTCTAGAGGGGGGGGGGGGTGAATAGACTGGTTGGTTTTTCAAATTTTCTCTAAGTCAAAAGTGACTTATCAGAGAAGGTCTGATTCTGATGACAGAGATAGGCTGGTTCTGATGTCAGAACTGGCCTTGGCAGCGGATTCTGATCTGTCCGGGTAGCCTCAGAAACACTAAGGCAAATGCCTTTCTGATAACTCTTAAAATAAGATCTGCTGAACACAGATTCCAAGTCTTAGAGTTAATCAGTTAATATCCTAAGTGCAGAAATGAAAATTGCAGTAAAGTAAATGACACCGGATATTTTATAGTGGTTCAAGGAACAACTCGTTCCTCTAGTCCACTGTTCCACTAGCTTTGAAGTAGATCGGTTACAAAGCTTGTTTCCTAGCACTTAAGAAGTTCTCCACGCCTTCTTCAAGCCTAGCTGCCACCCAGGATGCAGTTCCACGTCCTGATGGCTGGTCCTTTCACTCAGCTTCCCGGAAGTATCACCACTTCACTACTGCAGTTACTTGGACGCCCTTCTTTTCAGAAGATCCTTTGAAAAACAGAGTTTTTCCTCCAACTTGCTTCGTCACAAATGATATGTAGTTGAAGTTCTTGAAGTGTTGAAGAACAGGATGAACTTTGCTCTTGTTTGGGGATGAGAGATTGTGAGATTGAATCTTCCCAGCGTAAGCTTTTTCTTGTTTTTGTGTTGTGGAGTTTGAATCTCAAGAGAGCTTGTAAAATTTGATGAGCAAAAGTTGTAGCAAAGTTATTTTTCTGTTCTTCGATGTGTAGCTTATATACTGAGGTTGTCTGCCCGTTGGAGGAGGAGGAGACAACTGCATTAAATGCGCCTACTGTTGACTTGACCGCCGTTTTGGAAGGTTTCTATTTTTATAATATATCTTCCCGGATTCTTTGGTCAATCATTGGCAATTAATCCTTCAGCGTATCAGGCTCATTTAATGTGCATTAAATGCTTTCCTTTCATGCACAGTTTTCTAGCCGTTGGACGTTTTACCCGTTGAATTCATAGCTGTTGGATGTTGCTTGAAATCCTCTAAGTGTTAGTCGGGCTCTGATCAGGCTCTTCTGATGTGTTGGATCATGTTTGCTTTCTGATGAGTTGAGTTCTGATGGCTTTCTGATCTCGGATAGAGCTCTAACTCTGACTCTGATATGTCCGCTGATGAGTACCTCTGATCTGTAGTTCTCATCGGTTATCAGATGTCCAAGTTTATCAGCAACTCTCATAGTGCAATTCTGATGGACTTCTGCTAAGAGAACTCTGATGGAGCAGTTCTCATAGAGCAAGTCTGGTCGAGCAGTTCTGATGCACTTCTGATCTGGTCCAAAATAGAGCAACTCTGATCGTCGACTACACTAAAACTTACAATTGAAAATTCTAATACATGAGATCTAATTTGGGGGTACTCTAATCTTCTAATCCTATAGCATCATCAAAATCTAATTACATTTATTCCTTACAATTTCCCCCTTTTTGATGATGCCAAAACCCTTAAACTATTTCCAGAGAAGTGCCTTTCACCATAAAGAAAATAAGTAAAAAAAAATAAACTTTCATTTAAAAACTTGGTGGGCACTTAGCATAGGAAAGTAGTAAGAGTGAGATACAATCAATCACGCAATAATCAAATAAGGATAGAAAGCAGTAGATAACACAAAATATGATATAGCCAAGCAAATTAGAGGCAGAGAGGTTATCTTATTAACCAGAGTTTTTCAAACAAGAAATGCAAAAGAGATAAAGTTTAGAAATCTTCCTCTGCAACCTCTGCAAGAACAGCCTCTTCTTTTGCCTTGGTTTCTTGAAGTTCAGCATTTACTCTTGCTCTAATTGAAGCAAGGTTCCTGGGAGTCATGTATCTCTTCCAGAGTGGAGTAAGCTGGCAATCAAGATAGTACCTTATTGCATCCTTCTCATCCTTCCCAGGTAGGATCCTCAATCTCCACCATTCCTCAGCTTCTTCTATTGATCCTCCATGAGCAATGGTGATGATGCCATTCTCATCTTGGATCAGATTCTCACACTGCAGGGGAGTCATATGCTTTTTCATCTCAGCAAATTGGACTTTGTCTGGTTTAGACAACCCACTGTTCAGCCATTGGTTCAGTGTGAAAGATGGAGATTTCTTCTTTGTTGAACGAGGAGGAGGAGGTCTCTGAATGCCAGTAGCTAGCCTCTTTTGCCTTGCTCTTTCATAGTATCTGGCAGGGTTAATAGCTCTTGAGCTTGGGCCTTCTGCTTCTCTGGGAGGTGGAACAGGTTCTCTGCTATTTTCCCCCTTTTTGGCATCAACAAGATCGCCAAGTAGGAGTCCAATTTTCGAGAATTCTGAAGCATGGTTTTCCTTGATAGCTTCAAGTGTACCTGGTAGAGTCTGAGTAACAGAAGCCAGCCCTTCGAGAGTCTCTTTCTGCTTGTCAACAGCTGATTGGATGTCCTTAGTGGTAGCTTCAAGGAGAGTCAGCTTGTGATCTCTGTCCTTTCCACTATTGATCAATTTGATTTCAAACTCTTTGTTGTCTTTGCACAATCCTTCAACATCTTGCAGAAGTTCTGTATTTTTGTCATGAGACCACTGAAGATCACTTACCGCATCAGAGATATTCTTAATAGCCTTGTCTTGCTCTTCAAGGGCCTTTGTGTGATGAAATAATACGGCAGAGATTCCATCCACCTCCTTGGCAATGTTGCTCAGACTCTCTGTAGTTTTGTCCTTGTGAACCTCAAAAGCTGTGGCAATGATGCCTACATGCTTTAGCAGCATATTGATGCCGTTGGTGAGATGTTCACTGACTCTGGTGAGATGAGCATCAGTCTCATACTCAGCTTCCAGGAGCTTTTCCATTCCTTTGCCA